CACACCACAGCGCTCAGTCCCCAACTCCAACCCACACCACAGCGCTCAGTCCCCAACTTCAATCCACACCCACAGCGCTCAGTCCCCAACTCCAATCACACCACAGCGCTCAGTCCCCAACTCCAACCCACACCCACAGCGCTCAGTCCCCAACTACAACCACACCACAGCGCTCAGTCCCCAACTACAACCACACCACAGCGCTCAGTCCCCAACTCCAACCCACACCACAGCGCTCAGTCCCCAGCTCCTACAACCACACCCACAGTGGGCCTGGCGCACCTGGCCGCAGTGCAGGAAGGCAAGACACACACACTACTGAGTTCACGCCTGTAATCCTAGTTACTCTGGAGGCTGAGATCTGAGGATTGGGTTGAAAGCCAGCCCGGGCAGCAAAGGCCGTGAGACTCTTATCTCCAATAAACCACTAGAAAACTGGAAGTGGCGCTGTGGCTCAAGTGGTAGAGCGCTCGCCTTGATCTGAAGAGCTGAGGGACAGCGTCCAAGCCCAGAGTTCAGGCCCCACGACCGACCAAAAAAAAAAAAAAGAAACTTAGATTTGCACAGCTGCCTAGAGGTGGCGGTGGGCTTTGCCACGGGTGGGGCTCGGGGCTCCGCACGCGCCTTTCCTTAACGCAGGCACGCCGCAGTTCAGCAGCATCATCAAGCCGCTGTTTGAGTCCTTTGAGGGCATGGTGTCCACCAGCAGCCTGGAGGAGCTGCACCAGACGGCGCTGGCCTGGCTGGACCAGCACTGCTCCCTGCCCGTTCTCAGGCCAAGTGAGTGTTGACGCTCATCCTGGGGGAGGCGGAGCCTGGGGAGGGGGGAGGAGGAGGAAGGGGCTCTGCAGCACTCATTATGGAGCCTAGTTATTTGCCAGGCATTTTCTTGTTAAATTCCTATGACAAAACTATTCACCTAGACCAAAGTTGTAGGAACTTAATATTAAAATGAGTGGAACAGGGGCTGGGAAGGTGGCTCAGTGGTAGAGTGCTTGCCTTGCATGCACGAGGCCGGGTTCCATTCCTCAACACCACATTAGCAGAAAAAGCTGGAAGTGGCGCTGTGGCGAGGTGGTAAAATGGCTAGCCTTGAGCTGAAGAGCTGAGGGACAGCGCCCCGGCCCAGAGTTCAGGCCCAGGACCAAATAATAAATGAATGAATGAATGAAAAATAAAACGGGTGGAGCAAGCCCTCTGGCAGACCCCTGGGCTGCATTCCACCCGGGGAGGGCAGGTGTGAGGCAGAAGTCACACCTGGGTGCATGCGACATGTCCGTGACCCGCGCCCACCCTGTTCCGCAGTGGTGCTGAGCACCCTCCGGCAGCTGAGCACCACCACCTCCATCCTCACGGACCCGGCCCAGCTGCCCGGGGAGGCATCGGGGGCCGTCACCCGCATCGGCAAGAGATCGGGCGAGTCCCAGGCTTAGCCACACCACATGCCTGGAGCCCCCTTCCTACCTCTCCGGACGCAGCCTCGGCCGCCCTCCACCCTGCAGGCTGGCCGGGACGGGGAGGGGCCACGCTCAGGTCTGGAGCGGGCATGGGGCCTGCCCGCAGCAATAGCCTCCATGGGAAGCCCCGCCAGGGCCTCGGCCCAGATCCCTTTCTGGTCAGTGAGTGGACGGGACGGGGAGACGAAGCCACCTCTGCAGCCGGTGCCAGCCGGGCCTGTGAGACAGAGCAGTCCTCTCCTCCTGCCCACTTGTCCTCCACTGACCCCCGCACACTCCGTCGTGGCCTTCTGCACCCAGCCTTTGCTCGGAGGCGTGTCTTCTGCACAGACACGGGCACCGCGGAGCAGTGGTGTGGCGGCCACGAAGAGACGGAGCGCGGCCGCCGCGGCGCAAAGCCCTTTTTGGTGCCTTAGTTCCACCCGGCACTGACGGCCACGTGCTCTGGGGACACTTCGCCTTCCTTCCAGCATCCGGAGGGTCACACTGCACCCGGCCTGGCCATCCGACCTGAGCTTCAGCGGGGACAGTCCTCCGACCAAAGATGTCACCTGCTCAGTCTGTCCTGGCTAGCGTGTGGAGAAGAGCGGGCGGGCTGGCGCGGGGTGAAGACCCACGCAAGTCTGCTGCGGAGGTGGTGTCCGGAGCGTCAGGCCCCGCAGCACCGCCGTCCACCGCGAATTGTGTTGGAAAGAACCAGAGGGGCACGGTGTGGCCACTCCATCCTCGCTCTTTTCTGCTGCCCCTGCGCACCGCAGGACTCTGTCCAGCACTCAGGGAGCCCAGCCAGGGCACCCCCCTCCCGGAAGGAAGTGATGGTCCTGCTCTCCCAGCCAGCTGCCTTGGCGCTGCCTCCCTGCTGGCCTGCAGCGCCCCCAGGTGGCTGGGGACGAGGAAACAGGGCTGCGCGTGGATCTGCTTCCTTGGGGTCCTCCACCGGTTCTTGGCGCTTCGGGCCTCCTGCGCGGGCTGGCCATGCTGCCGTCCCCGCGTGCGCCCCTGACCTGCGCCCGCTCCCTCGCCTGCATCTCCGCCTCATCTGGGAGAGCTCGCGGTACCCTCAGCCGCCCCCCAATGTGTTTACGGGCTGAGGGGTGAGCCCCAGGCGGGCGAGTCCTTGGATTCAGGGGTGTCAGCTCCCCAGGGCAGAGGGAGGAAAGGAAAAGGAAAACGCTCGCTGCTGTGAGGCCTGGGCCCTGTGCCTGCCCGCCAGCCAGGGCTCCCGGTCAGTCTCCCGGTCAGTCGGTCTGTAGCTTCCTCCCGCCTTGCGGGAGCGTGTTCCACGCCACCGAGGGCGAAATCGGCCTCTTGCTTCTTGTGGCCTGCCTCTCCCACTTGCTGAAATTCTCTCCATTCTGCTCCCTTGGATATGTAAGGCGGTTAGCTCGTGTGAGCCTGGAGGAGAGAGTGAGTGTGAGAGAGCAGGAGTGTGTGTGTCCTAGCTGACTTTATTACACGCATGTTTGTTTCTGAGATTAACTTCAGTGCATTCTTTGGTGCTCCCGGTCGCCATGGCTGCAAGGTCGCAGCTGCAGCTGCCCGGCCGGGCGCTGCTGTGTCCTGCGCTGGCAATTGTGTCGTGTTGGGATCTTGGCTGATGAACGTGTCTGTCTGCAGCGGCCGGGCCCGGCCTGTGTCCTGGGCCAGCTGCAGCCTCCAGTGTGCACGCAGCCCCACCACGAGCCTGGCTTTGTTTACGCGCCTCTTCCCCCCATCCTGTCCCCTCTGAAGACTTAAACCAAGAAAGAAAAAAAAAGCCAACCAGAGCAGATAAACGCACAGCCGGCTGCTCGGCAGCTGCAGCTGTTTCCGTGAAATCTCCCGGGCCATCAGCGCTTGCTCTCGCTATGAGTGGCGGGCGGGGTGGCCGCCGTGGGAGAGCTCTTCACGCACAAGGGGAGTGGCGTGGGCTCGGGGCGGGTGTTTTCTCCTGGGTGTGGAGGAGGCTGGAGCCAGTGGAGCCCGCGCTGCCTGGGTCTCCTGTTGCCCACAGAATGGGCTGGGGGTTGGGGCTGGGGTCCGGCCTGAGTCTGTGCGCTTGGGACCGACTCCCCCCCCCCAAGGTTCACCCAGAGGTTTCCATGCCAGCCGACGGGACGGGACGACAGGCGCTGCCTGCGGCTCGGCCGGCCCGCACGCCACGCGGGCCCGCACGCCACGCGGGGCCTGACGGGCAGCCCTGGGGTGTCCTGCCACCCTCCCCACTCGGGTGCCCTCTGGGCTGCGCGGGGGATGTGGGCTTCCCCTGCACCGCGCCCCCAGGGAGCTCGGGAAGCCCGCCGTGCGTGCACGGGATAGTGCGTGGAGAGCGTGGGGACCGCAGCGTCTGGGAGGGGGTGTGGGAGCGGGCGTGGCTGCCGCGGGCGGGTTCGTGAGGGCGGAGGGGACGGGGGGGGAGGGGAGGCAGGGGGGAGAGCAGCGAGTTTGGTGCCAGGACCCACTCAGCATCAGCGTCGCCGGGGCCTGCGGAAACCACCTCCAAACAGAAAAGGGAACTTTCACCGCGACTGTGGACGTGTGTGTGCGTGTGTGCATGAGCGTGTGCAAAGGGCACACTTGTGTGTGTGGAATTTTATTTTTAAAAAGTTCCAGTTACTCAGCAGAAGCCCCTGCCCCCCGCAGCGCACGGCGCGCCACTCGGTGCCGTAGTTTACATCCTGCGGGATTAAGGCCTGAGGGGCTCTGCCGGGGCCCCCACGCTCCACTCGCAGCGGGCCACGAAGGAACTGGCTCATCTGCAGCCGTGGGGACCCCGGGCCCTCGAGGGCGCAGCCACACCGGGACGGAGCGCCTTCCACCAGCTGTCAACACTACAATGCATTCAAACTATATTTGCACCCAAAACAATAAAATCCTATTTTTTTGAAACCCCTGTGCAGCTGTGTGGCCTTGGGCTGTGTGGGGTGGAGGAGGAGGGGTGGGGGGTGAGGAGGAGGAGGAGCTCAGGGCTGAGGTCTGAGAACTTAGGTTTAAAGCACCTTAGGCAGAAAAGTCCATTAGGGGGCTGGGAAGGTGGCTCAGTGGTAGAGCGCTTGCCTTGCATGCCTGAGACCCTGGGTTCGATTCCTCAGCACCAATAAGCAAAAAGAAAAAAGCCAGAAGTTGTGCTGTGGCTCAAGTGGTAGAGCGCTAGCCTTGAGCTGAAGAGCTGAGGGACAGCGCCAGGCCCAGAGTTCAGGCCCCACAACCAGACCCAAAAAAAAAAAAAAAAAGTCCATTAGTCTCCACCTCCAAAATAGTCGGCACAAAGCATGTCTGGAGGTGTGACGCCAGTGGTAGAGCACCAACATAGCCTGTAAGCCGAGTGAGCATGAGGCCTAGAGCTCAAACCCCAATATTACCATGAAATGCGGAGCAGTATTTGGAGAAGACAAGTTTGGAGGGGTTGAAGAGTGGGGAGCTGGGGGAGCCAGAGTTGGAGGGGGGCTCTGTTCTTGGGGACGCATTGGCCCTGCTCAGGGTCAGACCACACCATCGGGGGATAAACGCAGGCCTGCACGGTTCTCAAGTTGGTAAAACTGGAGCTGCAGGCCCCAGGTCCAAATTCTAGGCGTTCATGGGTGACATGGAGGCCATTCCCATTGATCAGAGCTGAAGCCAAGCCACTGCCGGGAAACCAGCTCAAAGACAGCCACGCTTCACCCCGCCACGGGGCCCGCGCCTGCCTCCCGGAGGCCCAGGGCCAGGCCTGTTGCTCGTTTGGTCCTTCAGTGACTTTCTAGATAAAGCCAGGCCCCGTCTCATGGCCCTGTGTTCCCTGCTGTGCTTTCCCTCACCTCTGCGGCCCAGTCCCGGCCTGCCACGCGTGGATTCTGTCTTCCTCTGCTTGAACTCGGGCACTAGACCTGAGCCTAAACTGCAAAGGCCATTTTAAAACTCATGCAGGTGGCTCAGTGGTAGAGCGCTTGCCTTGCACACATGAGGCCCTGGGTTCGATTCCTCAGCACCACAGAAGCAGATAAAATCACAAGTGGTAGCGCTAGCCTTGAGCTGATAGCACCTGAGGGACAGCGCCCAGGTCCAGAGCTGAAGCCCCACAACTGACAAAACAACAACAAACAACTGCAGGGCTGGGAAGGCGGCTCGGGTAGAGCGCTTGCCTTGCATGCATGAGGCCCTGGGTTCCATTCCTCAACACCACATAAGCAGAAAAAGCCGGAAGTGGCGCTGTAGCTCAAGTGGTAGAGCGCTCGCCTTGAGCTGAAGAGCTGAGGGACAGCGCCCAGACCCAGAGTTCAGGCCCCATGACAGGCCCTCCCCCCCCCAAAAAAAAAGAATAATCTCTGGTTATGTGTGGTGCTACCCAGTGGCTCATGCCTATAATCCTTGCACCTTGGGAGGCAGAGATCTGAGGATCACAGTTGAAAGCTAGCCTGGGCAGGAAAGTCTGTGAGACTCATCTCCAACGAGCCACCAAAAAGCCAGATGTGGAACTGTGGCTTACACGGTTGAGTGCTATCCTTGAGCAAGAAAAGCTCAAGGACAGCACCCAGGCCCTGAGTTCAAGTCCCAGGACTGGTGTACGCACATGCACACGATCATAATCCCAGCACTCAAGAAGCAGGGCAGGAGGAGGGCGCGTGCGAGGCCAGCCCGGCTACACAGCGAGCTCAGGTCTCTACGTGGTCTTAAAAGTGTCTCATCTTCACGTGGAGGCTGCCCACAGACGGCGCTCCTGCTTTGGTTCTCTGTGGCTCTTGTTCTGTAGGTGAAGATCTGAGCTCACGCCTTGGCATCACGCGTGTGGCTTTTTACCTTTTAATGCAGAAGAAAGCACCAAGAAGCAGAGTAACGTGACACCCCCTGCACACCCGCCTTCCACTCCTGTACACCCGCTCCTGCCCGGCCGCTGAGCCCGCCGCACCTCCTCGCCCCTGTCATTTGTCAACGGATCTCAGATCCCAAGAGTGGTTTCATCCATGACAGCACAGGGTGATTTTTTGTTGGTGCTGGTGGTCGTGGTCATGGGTCTTGAACTCTGGGCCTGGGCGCTGTCCCTCAGCTCTTCAGCTCAAGGCGAGCGCTCTACCACTTGAGCCACAGCGCCACTTTTGGCTTTTTCTGCTTCTGTGGTGCTGAGGAATCAAACCCAGGGCCTCATGAATGTGAGGCCAGCGCTCTACCACAGAGCTGCCTTCCCAGCTTTGTAAACACCAATTCCAGGACTGCATGGGAAGCAGCAGCTTTGGTAAAAGCCACCCAAGTCACAGGCAGCGAGAAACCGGAGCCGTGGCAATGGCTGGGGTCCTTTGGCGGATTCTTGGGCGCATGCGTGCGGAGGTGGGGGGGGAAGGGGCTCCAGCGGGGAGCAGCCTCTGTTTTCCCCTCTGAATGAGTAGCTCCTTGCTGCAGGCCTCCATTGTGTGTGTTGTTGGAGGGGCTGGGACCTGTCAGTGCTGAGCCTGAGAGGTGGGGTAAGTGGGGAGGCAGGGGGCAGGGCTCCCCTGGGGTGGGGAACCTGGGGCGGGAGCCCCATGCTGTGCCACACTAGCCAGGCAGAGAATGGATCGCAGGGGGGAAAGCAAGCTTGCTTGTTTCCTTCCTTTTGTCAGTTATGGGGCTTGAACTCTGGGCCTGGGCGCTCAGCTCAAGGTGAGCGCTCTACCGCTTGAGCCACAGCACCACTTCTGGTTTTCTGATGGTTCCCTAGAGATAAGAATCTCACAGACTTTCCTGCCCAGGCTGGCTTTGAACCACGATCCTCAGATCTCCCGAGCAGTTAGAATGACAGGCGTGAGCCACCGGTGCCCAGCTGAAAAGCAAGAAACGTGTATGAAACCCAGCATCTCCGCCTTGGATTGTCTAGACTTTGTGGATTTTTCCTCTTTTTCCACTGACTCATTCCTGTCACAAGTTTCTCTTTCTCAGTTCTTTACTTTCATTCTGTGTGGGTTTGCGCTCACACATGCGCACACGTGTGCTGGAACTGGGACTTGAACTCAGGGCCCGGGCACTGGCCCCGAGCTTTTTCTGCTCAAGGTTAGTGCTCCACCACTCAAGCCACACCCGGTTTTCTGATGGTTAATTGGAAGTAAGAATGCTATGGGCTTTCCTGATGAGCTGGCTTTGAGCCAGGGTCATCGGATCTCAGCCTCCTGAGTAACAAAGATACCAGTTCTGCTAGCAGCTTCTGCCTCGTCTTTATTTATTTTTGAGATGGGGTCTCACAATGGAACCCCAGGCTAGCTTCAAACTTGCTATCTTCCTGCCTCGGCCTCCCGAGTGCTGGGATTGCAGGCATGCCCCACTGCAGCCCGAAGGACTAAATATGATGCATTTACAAAACTTAGGTGCCTAGGAAGTTAGCGGCTTTTGTTATTCTCCATCTCTTTTCCCCACCCTCCAATTCCATCTTGCCGTGTTCTCCGTTCCTCATGAAGTGGCCACAGCTCTGCCCCGTGTCCCGTGTTTTCTTCCCCAACCCCAACCCCCCCCCCTGCTTTGGCCTGGCCCACCCATGCGCTATTCGTGGGCGGGCA